TTTGTAAACAAGCTAAGATATTGACAAAGTTAGTTGCTCTCTATGGGCTATATGATGCCTGTTGAATGTTTCATCCAGACACTGCGGATTTTACACATTTATCTAAGGTTCATAACTCCTATTCTAGACTTGACCTTTGTTTGGTTAAAGCTAATACTCTTAAAGAAATAGAAACTATTCAAATTAAAGACAATACATGGTCTGACCACTCTCTTCAGATTCTTCAGTTAGGAAGGTCAATGCAGAATAGGATGAATACTTGGAGAATTGATGATTCTCTTCTCAAACTTAAAGCAAATTATGATCTTATAATAGAATTATCTAGATTCTTTTGGAATGAAAATGTTAATCCCGATACCTCGGACTCCACTATGTGGGCAGCCTATAAAGTAGTCATTAGAGGATATCTTATTAAAATGGAAAAAAACTCTAAAAAAGTGTTGAATAGAGACTTGGTGGACCTAAATATATTGTACTCCAATACTTCCAAATTGAATAAAGTTCATCAAACGCCCCAATTTAGTGAAAGATTAGTGGAACTTCAAAAACTTATCAATGAAAAATTAGAGGAAAAAATTAAGATAACTATTAGCAAATTAAGATTAAATTCCTACTATCAAGGAAATAGGGCAAATAGGAAATTAACTATGAGACTAAAAAAACAAAATACTTTTAATAGAGTCAATAAACTTGTTGAAAAAGAAATAATGTATTCCTCTCCAGAAACTATTGGTCAAATATTTAATGAATTTTACACTAAACTTTATAATCTTGACATTGTTTCTGACAGAATTTGAATAAAACAATATGTAATAAATACAATTATTCCCAAGGTTACTGATATAGAATTGGACCAAGTCAATAGAGAAATTACAATAAACGAAGTGGAAATACAAATAGACAAATTAGAACTTCTAAAGACTCCAGGGCTGGATGGTTTTAGCAATGGCTTTTATAAAAGTATGAAGAAAGAAATCAGTAAGCCCCTTGTGGCCTTCTTTAATGAAGTAGCTTTAAGGACTTCAATCCCAGATGAAATTCTACAAGCTAATATTCTTCCAATTTTAATATTAGATAAAGATCCTACCGATGTTAGAAATTACAGACCAATCTCTTTAAGAAATACTGATTTAAAAATCTATGCAGCAATTCTAGCAAATAGACTAGGATCATGTATTAAGAAATTGGCCCATTCAGACCAAGTAGGATTTGTCCAAGGCAGGTCTTCAGATACCTGCACTAGAAGCATTATAGAAATCTTAGATATTATTGAGCGTCAGGGGAAAAGCCTTTGACAGGGTCAGTTGGGGATTCCTCGACGAGGCACCAACCGCTTTTGGGCTTACGGGCTGGATACACGATGCCATAATGGCTCTTTACTCTAGACCTCATGCCGGAACTGTAGGCGTTAATATATTAAGTCTAAAGAATGGTACACGCCAGGGTTGTCTTTTATCCCCCCTTTTGTATATACATACACTTGAGCCGCTTGCAATTAATATTAGAAATAATTTAAATATTAAGGGCTTTCCAATAAAAAAAGAGAAGTAAAAATATTAGCATATGCCGATGATATATTGATTACAATTACGGCTCCAGAAGTTTCACTAAGTTTTCTTATGCAAACAATTGAGGAATATTCTATAGTTTCTAATTATAAATTAAATTTATCTAAATCAACTGCCATAACTATGAATGTTGATAAAAATAGATTAGATGAACTAAAGGACAGCTTTGACTTTAGATGGTCTGATGGTTCTTTTACTTATCTCGGTATCACAATCTCTTCTCAGGTTAGTAAAATCATGGAAATAAATTTTCTAAATCTCTTAAAATATATGAATATAAAGTTGAAAGAGTGGCGGAACTTAGAAATGTCCTGGTCAGGTAGAATAAATATAATCAATTCATATATCATTCTTAAATGAACATATTTATTTAGAATGATACCTATGGCTCTTCCAGATGTTGGCTTACAATGATTCAGTCTAGTATTCAAATATATATCTGGCAAGCTAAAAAATCAAGAATCAGCAGGAAGGTGCTATCGAGGAAATATAATAAAGGAGGGCTAAATTATCCAGATATTACATGCTATTTCTCAAATATTATTACTCATATATACAAACTTCAAGTTGAATCTTTTAAAGAGGACGTCTGGTATAAGATTGAGTCAGAGGCTACAAATCAGGATAGGCTGGAATTTTTCCTATGGCTCAATAGTGGGAAAAAAATGTCAAAAGATCTGAGTCAAAAATCACTGGTTCTTTCACAAATAGTTGGGGCTTGGGAACTTGTAAAGAAGTGCCTAAAAATCTCTAATAGGGTTATTAATACGGAGGTTTTGGAGGACAATATGACGGATATATCATTCCAAAATTGGCCAAGGTCCCGTAGTTCTATTAAAGAAATTATACGGAATGACTCAATAATGCCCTTCTAAGAGATACAAGCTATATTTTCTCTTCCTAATAAAGAACTATTCACTTACCTTAGGATAAAGAACTTCCTTGGTTCATCACCATTGAAATCCTCCTCATAAAGTTATCCTTTTCTTCAAAAGATCTTTAATTACTCAAAAGTTAAAAAAGTTCTTTCAAAATCTACTAAATTGATCCATAAGTTTAGATCAAGCTCCATTAAATAGTATGTCAGTATAAGATAATGTATAGATGGTATATGACTCCAGATAAAATAAGTAAGATATATTCTGATCAATTACCAAACTGCTGGCGATGTGGAAGTTTAGATGGGTCTCTTATTCATATATGGTTGTATTGTAACTTAGTCAAATGCCTTTGGAATTGGTGTTTTGATACGCTGAATTCTTTGCTTAATATACCAAATAGAAAGAGCCCAGATATTGCTCTTTTACATTTAAATTGGAATGTTTCCTCTTTCGTTTCTAAATGTTTAATAATTCACTGTTTTTTAGCAGTTAAAATTATAATTGCAAGACAATGGAAGTCCCGTCTATTATTTAAAAGGAGACATTTCTATGATCAATTACTATTTCAACTATGTATGGAAAAAGATCTGATGGGTTCCTCTTTCCATTCTATAGATAAATATCAACGTTTTATCAAATGGATTGAGACGTTAGAAAATATATGAGTACTGATTAATGACCCTTTATAGAATCTATTTCTATAGGTATTAAAAATAGATGTTTATCTGGACTATGTGATAAGAATTTAACATTTCATCTGCTTTAGTATAGAATTTCTAATTCCAATAACTTAATTTGAGATCCAACAGTATTGTCTGTCATATTTGGTATACTTAATAGTATTATCAAATTTATGTAAGCACTATCCTTTTAATGTCTGATTTTATCTTTTTTATTTCTGTATATTATGTTTTTTGTTTGTTTGTCTTTGTATGTTGCTTATTTTTTTCTTGTCAATAAAAATAAAAAGAATAAAGGAAAAAAAAAAAAAAGAATTTTTCTTCTGACCACACTTCTTCCTTGAAGACAATGGTTCCTCACTATCCTTCCAGTTTTTAATAATGGGTTGGACAGTTCTTAAACCACTTTTAGATGTTTCTGCAGTCTCCTTAGACGTTTTCTCTGCTTGATGCATGCCAATGATTTGACCCTTCTCAAACAGACTAACATCTTTTCCATGACCACGGGATGTGTCTTTCGACCTGGTTGTTTAAGAAATGAGAAGCTACTCATTGTATCAGTTGAGGTTAAATAACTTGTTGCCTGCTGAAAGATAATCACCCATGCAGTAACTATCCAATAAGAGGCTCTTACCTATTTGCTTAGTTTAATCCAGGTGGCAATTTTTTTTTGGGCCAGGCACTGTACCTACCATTTTTAAACAAAACATGAGTAAGCAGGCAAAACACATTTCTTTTCTTTCTAATGGGATTCATATTCAACTGTAGGTTATAACAGAATGACACAATCAAAACAAAACATGGCAACAAAGAAAAAAATGAAATAACCCCTGTTCAAAAGTCTGCATACCCTTAGTTCTTCATATTGTGTACAGGGCCGGCTCTACCATAAGGCGGCACAGGCGGCTTCCTTAGGGCGCATCTGCCCGGGGGCACAAATATCTGGGTGACCAGCAGGAGAGAAGTGCGCTCCTCTCCTGACGGTCATTTCCTGTAGCATGGCCGAGCGCCAATTCCTCGGCTGCCCGGCTCAGGAGGAGAGGGCCAGCGAGTGAGCTCCGATCCAGATCCGCATTTCCTCTATAGCTCAATGACAGCTTGCAGTCTTCTGTAATAGTTGTCTATGAGGCCACTAATTCTTGCAGGTGGTATAGCTGTCCATTCGTCTTGGCAAAATGCCTCCAGGTCATGCAAATTCTTTGGTTGTCTTGCATGAACCGCACATTTGAGATCTCCACAGAGTGACTCGATGGTATTAAGGCCAGAAGACTGTGATGACCACTCCAGAACCTTCACCTTTTTCTGCTTTAACCACTGGAGGGTCAACTTGGCATTGCACTTTGGGTCATTGCAATGCTGGAAAGTGCAAGAGCTTCCGATGCGCAGCCTTCGTGCAGAAGAATGCAAATTGTCTGCCAGTACTTTCTGATAACATGCTGCATTTATCTTTCCATTAATTTTCACAAGATTCCCCGTGCCTTTAGAGCTCACCCCCCAAAAACATCATTGAGCCAACGCCATGCTACACACTGTGGGGATGGTATTCTTTTCAGTAAAGACCTTGTTGACCCCTCTCCAAACATAGTGCTTATGGCTGTGACGATACGGCACTATTTTGGTCTCATCACTCCAAATTACAGTGTGCCAGAAGCTGTGAGGTGTGTCAAGGTGTTGTCAGACATATTGTAACTGGCTTTCTTATGGCATTGGCACAGTAAAGGCTTCTTTCTGGCAACACAAACATGGAGCTCATTTTTGTTCAAGTTTCAAGAGCAGACTGTATTTCTCCTGAGGTTACCTGTGTTTTTTTCTTTATATCCTGAACAATTCTTCTGGCAGTTGTGGCTGAAATCTTTCTTTCTCTACTGGACCTTGGATTGGGATCAATAGATTCGCAAATTTTCCACTTTCTTAATAAGTGATTGAACAGTACTCATTGGCATTTTCAAGGCTTTGGATATCTTTTTATATCCTTTTCCATCTTTATAAAGTTCCATTACCTTCTTACGCAGGTCTATTGACAGTGTGTCACATTGTGTGTCTGTAACAAAGCCAAGCATTCAAGAGCATGTAAACTTTTGAACAGGGCCATTTGGGTGATTTCTGTTATCATTATGATTTAAAAAAAGAGCCAAACAACTATGTGATAACAAATGGCTTCATATGATCACTATCCTTCAATCATATATATATTTTTTTTTTTTGCATGATCAGTCATATTTTCAAACTCAATGTAAAAATTTCACAATTTATGCCAGGGTATGTAAACTTTTGAGTACAATTGTCATTACAAGGGATGCTTACAACCTCCTACCACAGGTTGGGGTATGTCTACTAAACAGCGAGTGGCTTCTCGTTGTAATAAAAAGGCTAGTGAACAGGCACCTACTGCTGCACAGTCACTAATACAATAAATAAGAACTGGACACAGGTGCCCCAGCCTGCACGGTGGGGCTACAAATAAAAAATAAAGAGCAGAGAGTACCCCTGTGCACTCACCCATGGCCAGCAGGTTGGGGCTAATAAAAAAGTGTATGGAGGTACCTAATGTCCCCCCTCATACATGAGTGATTGGTGGGATCTCTAATTATAAAACTGGGGGACCTGCCTACAAGGGAAATATTTTCATGTGGTTTAGCAGAGTGCAGTGGACACTGAAGACAGACATTTTTTTACGCACAGACATGACATTGGCAGCTCAGAGTTCTGGGATGCCAACGTCATGTGTGCTGGGGGTGCAACTTGTCCCCCAGTGCACAATAACATATATCTTTGTATGTGTCGTGTTCAAGCAGAAACACTGCACATACATAACTCCACCAGCATGACCACTTGAAGACACTGAACTGGTTATGGTAATTGGAGTAACCCTTTCAACTAAAAAATAAAAGAATGATGTCCCAATTTCCCACGCAAAGTAGAGGCTCCGATTCAAGTGAGGCTCAATGTTTTGACAGAGTTCATGACCCTAAACCATGTCTCAGTCTCCAATAAAAATGGGGTTACATGTTTGTTAAAATATTAATATATGCTCATATGGCTTCTAGCAACAGTTTTTATTTTTTTTTACATTGTTTACTGCCCCTTCTCTAGTGGTGACCATTTATTGAAGTGCCTACTCTGCTACTATTGCATTCATAGTAGAACCAATTACTGCTAAGCATGTATATATTACATTTCATTTTGTCCATTTCATATTGTCTGTGGAAATCAGGAAAAAGGAATAAACTTGACAAAAGACCTTCCCCCTCCCCCCCCCCCGTATTATCATTTTTATTGTAAGACTAGTTTATCCATACAAAAATCTTTATTTTTTCATTATACTACTCATTATTCCATTCAGTCCCAAAACCGGCTATAGAAGTTTTTATTTTATTTGCGATGCAAAATAAACTAGCATACTCCAATTAACTAGCATACTCCAAGGCTTGTACGCATATATTCAAAATTGTTACAAGCCTATTTTCTCTCCCAGGAACCGAAGAATATGTCAGCCTACCCCCTCATTCAAAAGAGTAAATGTTGGTATTTTCCAGATTAACAGCCAGAATAGGAGATTTTTTCCACTCTTTGCAGATTAGAGACTTTGCTTACTCGACGGAAGTAAAGATGGCAGTTAAACTTCCCCTTACTGATTTCGAAAAAGTTTGCAAAATAGGAAAGATAAAGGGAATCTACAGTTTTAAATTATATTTCCCATCGGGAGGCAGATCTACGAATCTCTTTAGAAGCAAATGATTGGATAGATATCTGGGAAACAGCATATAACATATCGATATGTGTGATCTCTCAAAAACAGATGTTTAAAATATTGTTTAGATGGCATGTGACCCCCGTTTTCGTGTATAAAATCTGTAAAAACCTGATTGATCTATGCTGGCGGGGATATGGTCAACAAGGGACATAATTACATATGTGGTGGGAATGCCCAAAAATAAAAGGCTTTTGGGAAGAATTTTAAAAAAACTGGTCTCGACGATAATACTGGAAAACATAGAACTTAACCCTTGGACATTTTTATTATCTAAATCAATAGCGGGAATACCGAGTCATTCACAGAAACTAATATTTCTAATCTCATGGGCAGCATGTAGATGTATAGCTGCCGGTTGGCTAAAATTAGATCCACCATCTGAAAGAGGTCAACTTACAGGTTCAAGAAAATTATATTATGGACGATCTAGCTTCAAGAGTTAGACAGTCTTACCATATTTTAAGCAAGGTCTGGGAACCCTGGAAGGCATATATTAAAAGGAAAGATATATCTAGATAGAGAGGTGTGTTGGGTTTTTTTTGGGGGGGGTTATTTTACTTTAAACATAAAATACTCAATGTTGAATAACTTAATTTTGAACTACTAGACTTAAAATTTAACTCTATAGTTAATAATTCATGTTATAATTCATCTTACAGATTGTATATCATGTCTATTCTTCAATGTTAAATAAAGAATTATAAAAATTAAAAAAATAAGAAATGAAGTTTTAATGAGAAAAGTTGTATTTTTGCTTTTATTGTTATATGCTATTATTTATTGCAGTAAATACATCAGTAAAACTACTGTTTCTGACTATTACGTGAAACCTAACTGTAATTTTCTCTTTTGCTATAATGTTTGGTTACATTAATTTTATATTTTATTAAATTTAAGATAATTATACAGTAAAACATTAAATATTATCTAAATAGAAGCATTACCTTCTATAGTGCAATTCAAAGTAGCATTTCTGCTTGTAGTCCACAAGGTGGCAATATAACCTAAGTTAATGAGAAAAAAAATATATATATATATATAAACACTGCTGACACAGATATACCGTGAGTTAAGAACATATTCTCTCTTGAAAACAAATGTTGGCACACCAACATTTCTTTTTCTCTTTCAAAGGATTCACTTAGCTCACGGTACACCCGTGTCAGCCGTGTTTTACCTCCCACCTGTGGACTACAGATTAGTTATGTCTGTTTAGATCTGCGAAGACAAAAAAGAATAGGAGACCTCAAATGGTGTTGCGTCCGATGTCTTACCTAAAATAAAAATACCTGGATTATAATATATTAACAATAATCTGATTTATAATTCATAGATGTAAAGGTCTATTTTCCAGACATCCTGCGTATGGAACATTCAATCTCATTCAATTTTTTTTAGGATTCTGTGATGTAAAAATCATTTGTCCAATACTGAAAAAATAAATATAAATAAATATTAAAAGTTTCAGATCTTACTCTGACAATGAGAAAAAAATCACAAACTACCAAATTGTAGTGTAGCAGAATCTTTATCTAGATGACACATGTCAGATGTGATTGCTATACACACACATTAACCTTTAATAAAGTTGGCTTGTGAAAGCCTTAATTTTCATTCACTCCAAGTCTGCTTCTTGGTTTTTCTTTAGATTCCCATGTTCTTCCAGGGCTAGTTCCATCTCTCACCTCTTCTTCTTGCAGTAAATGTAAATGAATTTTCTGTAGACATTTAAAACCCGGTCATTGCTGCCACCCAAGCCCCTTACGACTAATATGGGTGGGCATTGCAAAATGTAAACTGTATTCATCTGCAAGACTGTAGAGTCAGCATTTATGCCTTAAAATTACTTAAAGGGACACTGTAGTCACTAAAAGCATTTCATCTCTTTGAATTGGTTATAGTGCCTGGAGTACCCTGGCACTGTCCTCCATTCAGTGTTGCACCATGTTCGTGCAGTATGCCACAAAATAAGAGCCCCTGGCCAGCCACAGTCTGGCCCCTTCAGTACGTGTAGCTAAGGCAGAGATTACACCCTTCCTTGTTGTCATACCCATTCATACCGTCAGTTGGATCTCTGACAGGCTAAAAGCAGTCAGCTGACACTCTCAGCCAATCACAGCTGCCCATTGCTGCTCATGCTAATACTTCCTTATTAGCCAAAGCAGCACAGAGGGGATGGATTGCCGGGGACTCTTGCTTAGCATTAAAACATTAAAACTTTAAAAACTGTTTAATGCTGATAGAAATGATGGTACCAGGGGACTCCAGACACTATAACCAGTTTAATGAGATGAAGCAGATACAGTGCCTACGGTGTCCCTTTAATTAAAAGGAATGATTTTGGTGCTTGGATTATCCTTTAAAATAAAATGCAGAATACATATCTCATATTTTATAAATCCTCACAGTAGAAAACTCTTTACTTTAATTATAATTGCTAAAATGGAAAGATCAATGTGCAAATAGTGCTATAAGTGAATGTGCAAATAAAGTGAAAATGCATGGGCTGCTTAACATAAGGCATTAAGCCTTTTTTTCAACAAATTGATAATGCTAAAATTGTTATAAAAAAAGTAATGTCGTCATTGTTCTTACCATATATCTAGGCATACATACCAGCAGGACAGGTGCATACAAAACAAAAGATGAAATATTTAGACAGCATGGAATTTGAAACATTTAAAGTTCTTATTTCTGAAGAAATCTACATACAAAAAGCCCTTGAAGCTAAAAAGCTAATTTCCACAGAAATTGCCATTTAGTGAATGAGTAAGTGCTCTGGATGTTGTATATTGTATGAATTGGTCCCAGCAGCACACACCACACACGTATATATATATTTGGGAGTTTAGGCCAACTTCCCGGTCTTGCTCCCCTCCCTGTCACAGGTGACTCATTCCAGGGCCCTATTTCACCCTGCACTGCAGAAAGTCCCAGAAGGAAGTATTTCCCAAGTAAGTAGATTAATAGAGTAGGCATTAGGTTGCTAGAGTAGGACCTGCCAAGAATGGGGTACATTGACGTTGTGGCAGGCTTATGCAATATATGATCATATACGGTAACAAAACCCCCATTATTTTCATCCTGGTTAGGTGTATTTACAGAAGACTATTGCCTTTTGTTAGTTTTTGTCAGGTTAGTAGCATAAAACGCAGTTTGCAGTACTTGTAGAGGTAGACACAAAGAAGAAAATAAAGTCCGAAGCAAACAAATCCAGTAAGGGCAAGGCAAAAACAAGGTCAGGCAGTGCAAATGTCAAATATCCAGGCACCAAAAGGCAAAGCAACGCTTCAGAAGTGAGGGTGGCAAGCCAAAGGTCAAGTAATCCATGAGAGCAGGAATAACAGAGGTAGTTTTAGGGAAGTAGCACAGAACAACTGAGCAATGATAGCTTAGCTGTCCATAGTTTAAATAGGGTGCCTAACTATAGACACACCTATTCTGACAAGCCTCCATATCACACTACTGGTGTATGGGCTGTCAGTAATTTGGAGCTGCTATGGGTGGTAATATGTTCCAGCCACACTCACAGGGCTGTCCTGCTGCATGGAATGATTGTGCATATCTCCTAGGTGTCTATCGTTACCTGGGAAATGTGACATGATCAGAGGTGCTGCCAGAGCAGCAAGGGAATGGGGGTAAGTCTTGACAATACCCCACCTCTAAGACACATGCTACAGAGGTGTGGGGAGCAGGATGTCTTTGATGACTGTGGTGGAAAGAATGAACCAGGTGAGGAGCATGGACATTAATGGATGGCTCCAGCGACCGTTCTTACGGACCTTATGGATGAGGTGCCAAAGTCATCCACGACGAATACGGGAATCAATCATTTTAGTCAATTTATATTCTTCTTCACCATCAAGCTGGATAGCACCTGAAGGTGGAGGATTCTGTTATGGGCAAATGCAAATATTACAAGTTTTAGAATGAAATGTTGTATTTTTTAAACTGTGTACTTTGTCTTTAAGAGATATTGCAAACTGACAAGGTGTTAGAAATGGAACATATTGTTTTTCATAGATGTTTCTTTAAGCAATAACCTCAGAACATAATATGTTTGCGCCATTTTGTCCCAGACGAATTTCAATAATGCATAAACAAGCTTCAAGGCTATACTACGACTCTTTCAGTACACAATATACTGTGGTAACCTTAAGTAGATAAGGATGTCCAGACTTTAAGATGCCATCTTGAATTAAGTCAGGAACATTTCCATGACGTATACACCCTTTAGTTATGGTCTTGTATGTTTGCCAAGTTAAGGGAGGTCCTAAAATGAATAAAGTAAAAGAAGTGTTACTTTTTCATATTTGAACCACGGTAACCCTAAAATGGAGACACCTAAGGTATAAATAGGTGTACTTTTAAATGTTAAGACACAGAGGAGAGACTTGGAGACAGACGCTGCTCCATCTTAAAATGACAGAGAGGCTGACATGATGACATGTTCAGAAGGGTATGTTAACCTATTAATGATATTTGCAAGCATTTAGTTTAATCTTAGAAACTCTGCTATATGGATTTTATATGTCTATATTTATATTTTTATATAATAAATATCCAAAAAGACAAAACTATTGCTTCCAAGACAATCCTTATTTTATATTGTATTCTCAATTATTTATATATGTTAAATAGAGGATCTCTTACTAACTATATAAAATTATGGCTAAGATATCTGTATGGTTAGCCCTACTAAGTTCTATGCTTTAAGACATTATAGTGGTAAATAAGGGAACCACCTGTGGTTACAATTCCATGTGGTAAATATGTCAGGTATGTATGGTTTCCACAATGATACATGGAATACAGGGTGTATTCGCAGAGAAAAATGGTCACAGGAGAGCGGGCAGTCATTATTTGGTATTGACAAAATATTTTTCCCTACATGAAATACAGGAGCAGGTCTGCTTTTTGTTGTGTTTCTTGTAGGATGATTTTAGCAAGTAGGAATTTTATATGGAGGTTATGGGTAAACTGTTGAACTTCAGGCAGAGGACATGTGATCAGGAAGTATGATTTGATGTTAAGCATAGTTGATGTAGAAAGGAGACTTATGCTATGAACTCTGTAGGTGTGTATTGTATGCAATTTCTGACACAGGTAGCAGCCCATACCAGTCATTTTTCAGATGAGTAGTGTAACATCGGATATGTTGTTCAACTGTCTTGTTGGTTCTTTCCGTCTGTATGTGGAAGGCAGTGGACAAATGGACTCGAATTTGTAGGAGATTACAAAAAGATTTCCAAAACTTTGAAGGGAATGTCTATGGAATAGTACAACTGTCTGCTTGGTGATGGGTGCTACTTTTGCTGTGATAAAGTGATCCATTTTAGTTAATCTATCAACTACCACCATTATAGAGGTATATCTTTAGGAGGCAGGCAATTTCGAAAATAAAGTGGACAGAGATCTGTGACCAGGGACAAGAAGACTGGGTGGTGACTGTAACAATCTAATCAGATGAGAATTTTTTTTTATTTCTGAAGAAATCTGCGCACTGATAGCCCCTGAAGCTAAAAAGCAAACTTACACTGAAACATTTAGTGTTATTTGAATAATTCAAAAATGTTTCTTCATGTTTTTATTGCAAAGGCTGTAAATAACTGGCATTAATCATCACCCATTACACTAGTTTTAATGCTATATATGTCCTCTCCCTTTCTGATGAAAGTGAAATGTTTAAAATTTAAATACAGTGTTTTCATATTTGGGTAGCAAATAGCACAAATACATTCAATTTTTTATGTCATATGCACCAATAGGAAAATATTTATAGAAACAAATGTATTTACATGGCATAGAAAAATATAACACTTCCTTGTTGCTAGCAAAATTATTATAATCAAAGAGCAAGGCATGCAGATGGATATTGTCCCTTTTAAAGGGACACTGTAGGAACTATAACTATAACTAAGCTCATCTCATTGAATGATTATAGCACTTGGAGTAATCCAGCACTTTGCCTTCAATTGGTGTTAAACAATTTTTGAGCACGTTTTTATCACTCTCATGATTATTTACTAAGGTGAGAATTGTCAGAAATGCAAAGTGAACCCAAAGCAAATTTTTTATTTACGTTTATCGTAGCCAAATTAGAAGCCTAGATGAATAGGAAAAGTGTTGCAGTTTGCCTTTTATTTAAAATTCTCTTTGAATTCCCAACAATCAACAATTTCCCATTTTAGTGAATAACCCTCTTATTAAGGATCCCTGGCCACCTGTAGTTTTGTTAAAAAATTGGACAGGGGTCTCTCTCTTAATATATAAATCAAAACAGCACTTTAAACGATATGTATTTTATCTTTAAAGGGACACTATAGTCACCAAAACAACTACAGCATAATGTAGTTGTTCTAGTGTCTATTGTCTGTAACTGCAGACTATTTGCTTTTATTTGCTTACATTGGCAAAAATTAAGCAGAATACATATTTCTCTGTGGCATTCAGGCCCTGTTGTTATTATGCACACTGTTGGAAAATTTCTTAGGGACCATTATACCTGGAGGGAATGTGTGACCTATATATAAGAAAAATATTAGGGACAATTACCCAAAAACACAAGGAGAGAAAGACCATTTTGAAAGAAGAATATAAGATAGAATAGAAGATAGAATAGACTGAGGAAAATGGTCCCACTGAACCTACCATCCATCAGAATAGGGATTTTTTTAGGAAGGGGGCAAGACCTAAACAAAAGAGCAATAACTGAGTTTATTTTTCTGAAACAACTGAGGATAAGTTTAATAAACCGCTTCGCTCCCCTTGCAGACAAACATACCCCAGTTAAGAGGATAAGTGGCGAGATAGAGGAGATATACTTTTAAATCCTGAACAGGAGGAGGAGTTGGGAATTTTTAATATTTCTAAGGTTAATTTATTACCCTAGGAATGTTTAATTTTAAGTAAAGATTTAACGTTTTCCCCAAATGTACATTCAGATCCCATCCAAATTTTCACAGATACCCAAACATTCATCAGAAAAAAATGAGTATTAAAAGATTCTTGAATATTCTCCTATATATGACAATCTGATGGATGTAAGATCACCCGACTTATTAAGTTAATTCAGATCCAAATCTTCTTTTAACCCAAGTGAGAAAGGAAGTCAACTTCATGTTTTCAATTGATCAAAGATTTTGATAAATTGAAGCAGAAGAAAAAATTCTGCACCTACTTAACTAGGACTGAATCGGCAATATTGAAAACATTACAAGAGAGGGATGATGTAATATAAAATGCAAATAAGGGGGGCGGAATAGTTGTTCGGAGGAATATTACTTGAAAGAAGTTTATAGACTCTTAGATAACAAAATTACTTATTTGAAGCTTTCAGGAAATCAGAATAGGGATTTCAATGATGAATTGAAATCCTTATTGGAAGAGGCAAAGACAAAAGAGAGGATAAATGATAAAGTGTTTTCATTTATATTCCAACAGTTTCCCAGAATCACAACCTTCTATTTCCTTCCAAAGGTACATAAGACTAAAGAGAACTCACCAGGGCGACCCATTATTAGTGTGATTGACTCATTAACCTCTAAGCTTTCTGAGCTTATAGAACACTCTTTACCGAAGTATTCCCAGTTCGCTAAATCACATATAAAAGATATGAAACATCTTTTACAGGAACTAGACTCCAGTCAGATTTCTGAGAATTTTTAATTAAGTCTAAATAGTTAATTTTTTAAAATAAATCTAGAATAAATTCTTTTAGATTTATCAATATATATCGAATACTCCAAGATTAAGACTAAAACATATTTTAAGCCTACTGATACCAACAATGTCATTGATGATAAAAGTAGTCATAACCCAAAATGTATATCAATGGTACCAAAAAGTAAGGATAACATATAACTGGACCTTAGAGTGGCCGGACATAATGTATCCAAGAATAGTCAAAACACTTGCCTAGGTCAGGAACACAGAATCAGACACAAAGATGAGGGAAAGCCAAAAGTCAAGGATACCAGATATCAGGGAAGTCAAAACAAAGCCAAAGTAAAATACCAGAAAATCAAGACCAGGAACGCACTCTCGGATAACCATAGGCATGAAACCACGACAGGGCAATGAGCTAGAGAAGAATTGGGTTTAAATACCCCTCCTGTGGATCTGATTGGCTGTAACCGGCCTTTGACCCCAAAGGCAATTACCAGGTTTCCATGTGCATGATTGCTGCTCAACACAAACTCTCCTGTGGATTTGATTGGCCATGACCAGCCTTTGACCCCAAAAGTAACTACCAGGTTTCCATGTGGATGATTGTTGCTTGGCACAACTTTTCCTGTCAGGATGGTAATGTTGCTCGGCACAACTTTTCCTGTCAGGACAGTAAATGCCATTAACTACATTTTTATGTGCGGATGAATACATAACATATATACAGCAAGCACAAATATTAACTAATACATTTTGTAGAGAAAGGGTATCACCTAAAAAAACTAGAATTGGAGGTAAAAAAAAGTAGGAGTAATGAGAAGGGGAGATCTTCTCCTTGATAAAAAATAAGAACACGATGGCAAACACAAGAATATATTTGAATTCTCTTCTAATAAGAATTTTAATTCTCATGCTTTCAATATAAAACGGATTTTGAATAAGCATTGGCCCATTTTATTAGAGGATGGGTTTTTGGGTTCTAAATTACCAAGTAGGCCTGATAGAATTTTTAGAGAGGGAAGAATCTAGCACCTAGCACCTTTAGAAGGAAAAATCTAAAAGATAATACCACGCATCAGGTTAAGTAAAATTTTTGACCTATTTACACAATACCACACAACACTCTACACACACACAATCCCACAAGCCGGCTCCAGACACATGCACCATTCACTATCCTGGCCCTTTTGTCCTCTGGTATCCCACTTGTGGAGACACCAGAGACAATTTAAAAGCAAACACAGCTGAAGCATGTTATTAAATTTGCTTGCGCTGCGCAGAACAAATTCAGGGCCTTTTTCTAATGCCAGAGCTCTTCAGCATGGCTCTGCGCATTGAAACAACATGCTCACTTTGAGAGGGGGCGTGCTTGTCATTAGTGATGACAAAGCACACCTTCTCTGGCCCCACCCTCTTCTTTGGGGGCCGCTCTGAATGAAAAATGTCCGGGCCTAATTTTTTTCCCAGTCCGGCCCTGCATTGTAACCAATGTCCAGTCTTTGACCCATGCAATTTACAGTTCACTGTTCTAGAACCAAATGTTTCCTGTAGTTGCAGATCAGACGTGCACAACGGTCAGGAGTAATTCTTGACCATTCCTCTTTACAGAACTGTTTCAGTTCAGCAATATTCTTGGGATGTCTGGTGTGAATTGCTTTCTTGAGGTCATGCCACAGCATCTCAATCGGGTTGAGGTCAGGACACTGACTGGGCCACTTCAGAAGGCGTATTTTCTTCGGTTTAACCCCTTCTGACCGGAGGACGTACAATTACGCCCTATTTTAGGCAGCTCTAAACGCCGCCGGGCGTAATTGTACGCCCTCCGGTTTTTGTCTACTTACCCGGTCGCCGGCGTTCCCACGCCGGCGATCGCGGTGGAGGGGACTCCCAGGGAGCACCCCCGCGGCAGATCCTCTTCCTCCGGTGCCCCCCGGCCATGTGAGAGTGGGGTCCTAGTGAGGACCCCACAATCACATGGCCGGGTAGGCTGCCTCCTGCATTGCCAGCAGGGGGGCTGCCTGTAATGACAGGTGGTCCCCCTGCTGGTTGGAAATGAAATTAAAATAAAATGTATTAGTGTAAAAAAAAAATATATATATACTTAGATCATATATATATCATATATATATGATCTAAGTATATATACACACATATACATACACACGTACACCGTCTAGGTGTATTTTACTATTAATATATAATTATATATTAATATCAAATTACACGTAGACTGATACTGATTAAATATATATATAATTATTATTATATATTTATATATAATATAAAAAAATTAAATACGTTAAAAAATAAAATAAAAAAAAATAATTAAAAAATATATAGATGTGTGTTATTTCGTTCTAACTGTATTGTGATATTAATATATATATATTTATATCAAAATACACGTAGAACGAAATAATATATATATCTACATACTTAAATATATACGTATATATCACTATATATATATACCTATATATAAATAAAAATATTTTAAAAAATTATATAGATATACACATATAGATTCACATACGTATATATATATATATATATATACATATATTAATTCTACATATATATTTATGTAATATTTTTACATTATTAGGTATCTTAATTAATTACAATTAGAGGGACCTGCCTGACAACCCATGCCGAAAGTAAAGGGAATTTAATTGGCTAGCACTATATTTAACCCTATAACTTTCCAAGACACCATAAAACCTGTACATGGGGGGTACTGTTCTACTCGGGAGACTTCGCTGAACACAAATATTAGTGTTTCAAAACAGTAAAATGTATTACAACGATGATATCGCCAGTAAAAGTGAATTTTTTGCATTTTTCATGCACAAACAGCACTTACACGGACAATATTATTGCTGTGATACTTTTTACTGTTTTGAAACACAAATATTTGTGTTCAGCGAAGTCTCCCGAGTACAACAGTACCCCTCATGTACAGGTTTTATGGTGTTTTCAAAAGTTACAGCGTCAAATATAAGGCTTGCGTTTCATTTTTTTCACATTAAAATTCGCCAGATTGGTTACGGTGCCTTTGAGACCCTATGGTAGCCCAAGAATGAAAATTACCCCTATGATGGCATACCATTTGCAATAGTAGACAACCCAAGGTATTGCAAACGGGGTATGTCCAGTCTTTTTTAGTAGCCACTTAGTCACAAACACTGGCCAAAATTGGCGTTTTTTGCATTTTTCACACAAACAAATACTAACGCTAACTTTGGCCAGTGTTTGTGACCAAATGGCTACTAAAAAAGACTGGACATACCCCATTTGCAATACCTTGGGTTGTCTACTATTGCAAATGGTATGCCATTATGGGTGTAAATTTAATTCCTGGGCTACTATACAGTCTCAAAGGCAACGTAACCAATCTGGCGAATTTCAATTTCAAATGTAACGTGCTATATTTGACCCTGTAACTTCCCAAAACGCCATAAAACCTGTACATAGGGGGTACTGTTTTACATGTGAGACTTTGCTGAATACAAATATGTGTATTTTATTGCAGTAAAAGCAAACAGTATTATGACATTGACCGTTAAAATGTCATGTAGAACTAAAAAAATAAAAAAATCTTATTTTCTCCCATTTTTTTCATATTAAATTATGTTTCATAGCTAAATATTTGATATTAAATGAAAGCCCTGTTTCCCCTGAATAAAATGATATATAATAAGGGTGGGTGCATTTAATATGAAAGAGGTGAATTACGGTTGGACAGACGTGTAGCGCAAATGCCAGGTTTTGTTTACATTTTGTTTTGTTCACAACGTGCACATTTGGCTCTGTCCTTAAGGGGTTAAGCCATTCTGTTGTTTATTTACTTCTGCTTTGGGTCATTGTCCTGTTGCGACACCCATCTTCTGTTGAGCTTCAGCTGGTAGACAGATGGCCTTAAGTTCTCCTGCAAAATGTTGTGATAAACTTGGGAATTCATTTTTCCTTCGATGATAGCAATCCGTCCAGGCCCTGATGTAGCAAAGCAGCCCCAAACCACGATGCCCCAACCACCATACTTCACAGTTGGGATGAGGTTTTGATGTTGGCGTGCTGTGCCTTTTTTTCACCACACGTAGTGTTGTGTGTTTCTTCCAAACAACTTAACTTTGGTTTCATCTGTCCACAGAATATTTTGCCAGTACTGCTGTGGAACATCCAGGTACTCTTGTGCAAATTGTAAACATGCAGCAATGTTTTGTTTGGACAGCAGTGGCTTCCTCCCATGAAATCCATTCTTGTTTAGTGTTTTACGTATTGTAGATTCGCTAACAGGGATGTTAGCATTTGCCAGTGACTTTTGCAAGTCTTTAGCTGTCACTCTAGGATTCTTCTTCACCTCATTGAGCAGTCTGCGCTGTGCTCTTGCAGTCATCTTTACGGGACGGCCACTCCTAGGGAGAGTAGCAGCAGTGCTGAACTTTCTCCATTTAAAGACATTTGTCTTACCGTGGACTGATGAACAGCAAGGCTTTTGGAGATACTTTTATAACCCTTTCCAGCTTTATGCAAGTCAACAATTCTTAATCGTAGGTCTTCTGAGAGCTCTTTTGTGTGAGGCATCATTCACATCAGGCAATGCTTCTTGTGAAAAGCAAACCCAGAACTGGTGTGTGTTTTTATAGGGCAGGGCAGCTGTAACCAACACCTCCAATCTCATCTCATTGATTGGACTCCAGTTGGCTGACATCTCACTCCAATTAGCTCTTGGAGATGTCATTAGTCTAGGGGTTCACATACTTTTTCCACCTGCACTGTGAATGTTTACATGGTGTGTTCAATAAAAACATGGCAACATTTCATTCTTTGTGTGTTATTAGTTTAAGCAGACTGTGATTGTCTATTGTTGTGACTTAGATGATGATCAGATCACATTTTATGACCAATTTGTGCAGAAATCCATATCATTCCAAAGGGTTCACATACTTTTTCTTGCAACTGTATGTATGCAACTGTTTGTCAAGGTGTGTGTATCTGTGTGTCAAGGTGTGTGTATTTGTGTTTCTATGTGCCAGTGTGTATGAATCTGACACACAGATACACACACTGGCAGATAGTGGCACACAAATACACACACTGACAAAGATACACACCTTGACACACGGTGTGTATCTGTGTGTGTATGTATGTGTGTGTCAAGGTGTGTGTATCTATGTTTCAAAGTGTGTGTATCTGTGTTTGTATGTGCCAGTGTGTATGAATCTGACACACAGATACACACACTGGCAGATAGTGGCACACAGATACACACACCTTGACACACAGTGTTCATGTGTGTGTATATGTATTTATGTATCTCTGTGTCAGTGTGTATGTATCTGGCACACATATATACACACACACACACACTGGCACACAGATACACACAGACACACACCTTTACACACAGATACACACACTGACATACACATCTTGACTCACAAATACACACACACAGTGACATACACACACTTGCACCCATAGATACACACTGACACACTTAGATACACACACACAGGCACTTACAAACACACTGATACATACTGGCACATATACACACACTGACAAACACACTCTTTGACAGACACACATACACTCCCACTGACAAACACACACACTCTTTGACAGACACACATACAAACACATATACACTCTCATTGACAAGAACAGATACATTCTCACTGACAAACACATATACTCACACACTCACTGACAAGCACGCATTCACTCTCACTGACAAACACACACACAAACACATACAAACTCCCTAACAGACACATATAACTTATTTTTTTTCTTATATTTTACACCACTCAGCCCCCCTACATTTAGGAGTGCTGGCATGGAGTGCCTGGGGTCCAGTTGGGCTGCTGGCATGAAGTCCATGTGGTCCAGTGGGGATGGCTGCAGCTTGGTGGGCGGCGAGGGACAGACAGGTGAGCGGTGGAGGCGGGCGGCGAAGTAAACTCTCTGCTCAGCTCCCTTAGTGATGTCGGAGCTGGAGTCACGTCATATTCTGGCTCCGGCATCACTGCTGTGCACGCGAGGAAGCTGAGCAGAGAGATCACTGCTCCCTCGCCGCCAGCGACCATTTTATTTTAAATTTTTTGGGCTGAACCCCAATTTGTGTTCTGCAAAACTCTAGGGTTCTGCAGAACACCAATTGGGAAACGCTGGTGTAGAGTATTACATATACTATGTTTCTATTGATTATGTATGGATGCCTGAATTGACATAAGTAACGAATGGTATCACAGTCACAAGACTCTCTTTGACTGAGAAGTCTGGAATGTGGATTGGGGATCTTGTCCTTATATAGTTAGGGTTATATTCTGACATCATTATGGTCCGATCTATATAGAATAGTGGACAAAGGACCACAAGGTCTTGCTGTTGCTTGCTGCTTGCTGCAACGGGGTTCTTCTTGTCCGCCTGTTCTCTAACTATGTAGAGTCTAACTCTCCCTCCAGGAGTCCAGCAATTACCATCTGCTGTTGAACATCCATTATCCTGTAACATCCTTTGTTGTTTTATTATGTATCCGTAACTGTGAGAATAAACCTGATGAAACCGTAAGTCAGATTGCATATTAGTATTTTTGGTTACTATATATGTATATTAACGTGGCAAGTCTTTCACCCAAGAATAAATATATATTGTTGCAGAAGTTCCCTCTTTCTGCTACAACACAGTTATTCTGATGCTTTTGTTGCTTTTATTTGAATAATATTGTACTATTCGTATGTACGAATGGCCGACCACCCGGCCTTTGGCGTGTGCCGCCAATTATTATTATTTTATTATTTATATAGCACCATCAGATTCCGTAGCGCTGTACAAACGGTGGACTAACAGACATTTAATTGAAACCAGACAACTCGACGTACATGAACAGAGAGGTAGAGGGCCCTGCTCAATGAGCTTACATTCTAGAGGGAGTGGGGCATAGTGACACAAAGAGTAAAAGTAGGGGTATGAAGTAAGATGTTAGAAAAGTATTCGCTGAGGGCTTAACAGGTAATTTTTGATAGTTGCAGGAGAGGAGTCATGGAGGGTGAGGGGTGAAAACCTGCTAACAGTTTAATTGATATGCTTTCTTGAAGAAGTGAGTTTTCAATGATTTTTTGAATGAGCGGAGACTGGGTGAAATTCTTACGGAGGAGGGAAGGGAGTTCCACAGAAGAGGTGCAGCCCTGGAAAAGTCTTGGAGGCGAGCGTTAGAGGTGGGAGTACGGACAGCGGATAGACTTAGGTCTTTGGCAGAGCGTAGGGGCCTTGACGGGACATACTTGTGTATTAGGGAGGATAGGTAGGTTGGAGCAGCATTATGTAGGCACTTGTAAGCAAGCACCAGAATTTTAAATTGAGCCCTATATCTAACAGTGACTGACAGAGCGGGGAGGCGTGGGAGGTCCAAGCGGACAGGAAAATGAGCCTTGCCGCCGCATTCGTTATAGATTGCAACGTTGCCATCTGGGAACACGTAAGACCACTGAGAAGAGTATTGCAGTAATCCAGGCGAGAGAGAACAAGAGCATGGACCAGCACCTTAGTCGCATCCATGGTTAAATAGGGGTGGATGCGCGCTATGTTTTTGAGATGGAAGTGACAGGATTTGGCAATTGATTGGACATAAGGGGTGAAGGAGAGGTTGGAGTCCAATTAACCCCGTTCACCTTGCAAAACACAGAATAAACCGTTGAACGGACGACCACCCTACCTGAGGAGTGTGCCTGCAATTAACCACCCAGGAGCTGCGGTTTGCAGTTAACCGCAGCCTAATTGGCTGCCATCAGGGTGGTCACCATTCGTATGTAAAAGGTCGAATGGGGAGCCAAACTAAAAGGCGAAAGAACTCCAGAATGACCGACCACCCGGACCCTGGTGTGTGTCCCTATTTAATCACCTTGAAGCTGCGGTTTTTGTGGTTAACCGCAATATAATTTCTTATCGCCAGGGTGGTATTCATACATATGCCAAACACGTGGTGGCGGCCATCTTTTGTCATCGAACGCCCAGCGGAACTTGGTCGGCAAACTCATGGTACTATTTTCGGACAATAGTTTGCACGAATCCCGCTGGGATACAGCTTACCCCGTCTATTTGTACCTAAACCCCGAAAGACATACCATTCGACAATTGGTAACTACGAGACTTACACCGGCCCCTGGCCAGACCCCGTGGCCGAGGCTACACAGGCTACTAACAGTCGAGTTTCCTCCCCATGACATTCGTATACCATTCGTGAAATCTGAGCGCTTTTCGTATATTTTGTGCGCTCTGATCCAAGCTGTCTGGGGATATCTGAACATTATAATATAAAAGTTGTTCATTTTATTCTGTTTTCATGTATGTATAATAAGTGTGGTTATTTCATGTACCTGGAGATAATTGAGTTATTGTAACCGTGTAGGAGGGAGTGTTTTGGAAAAGGCACTTTGTTCCTATTGGCTGTGACACTGTATTGTCCTGTGTACCATCAAGTCCAGAGGGGTTCCTCTGGCCTGAAAATATATATTTAAGGTCGTGCATGAGTACCCATTAAACCAGTTCTATTTTTACCCTCAACTCACAGCCTCGACTCATGTTGTAGGGAAAGATGTATACTAGCTCTACTAATAGCTAGTGGGATTTCTACATTTCCAGGATTATTTGCTGTATGCTGTCCGGAGCGGGTTCTCACTCTCCAAGATCAGGAACTAGGACCTCTAAGCGGTCCAACTTCCAGCTAGCCTGTAGGCAACCGTAACATTTATAAAAGACTTATTTCAATCAACTTGGAAAAAGACACAGAAGAATGATTTTATTGCAAAGGGATTGCAGGGGATTCGCCAAAGAAAAAAGTAAGTTGTCTGGGTATGCGGTAATCTTGTAATCAGTAGAGCCAGATCAAATACCAGAAATGTTTGTTGGCTCTCACAGTGCTCAGAAATGGCTTTAAAGAAAGGGCAAACCATAATGGTGAAAGGGGGCAGCCCTGGCAAGTGCCATTGTTTATAAGTACTGACTCCAACAGATTGCAACCTATGCCGTGATTAATAAAACAGTTGCATGAGTAGTAAATACAGATATCATAGTCAGGAAAACCAAACAGCAAGGACAGGCAGCAAAGAATAAAAATTACATTTATGCAATGGAACTCTTGCCGCCTGTACATGTGTATATTATGTGGAATACTGGGTACTTGTTTACACTAAAAACCACAATGAAATAACATGATGTACTGTGAAGTGTGTATTATTGAATAGGAGTGACACTTTGCCCTGGCATGTAGTAGTAGCACATAAATGTAAACCATGCTGGAGGTAGTTCATAAACTTGGTAAGGTAGGTGCTTGGTAGTCTTGCTGTGTTGTTATGTGGGAGACCGACATGAGCGATGTTGTCACTTTTCTTTGTTAGCAAGATTTTTCACATTATGCAGAATAAATAATGGTTCAGGCACTCCTTAATAACAAAAAAATCGTGCAGAATAAAAACAGTTCAGGCACTCCTGGATAAGAAAAAATCCTATTTTTTGTTATCCCGGAGTGCCTTAACCGTTATTTATTCTGCATACCTTGGAAGGGAGGCCTGGCCAGCCTTGGCGTCAGAGCACCTGGGTTACTTGGTAAGTGCGGTATCCAGTACATCTCTAAGATTTTTCACATTAGCATGTCATACACAAAGTCCTGTTTACAATTTTCTTCTGGTAATTTTATTAGAACATGTTTTATCAATGAAAATGTAAAGTGGCAATACCATTTGATTATTTTCTTACAAAGAGACATTTTAAAAGTACAACTTACTTGTGCTTACCATCTCTACAATGGAATGTAAGTTTAAGCTCACATTCACCATTGTTACATTTCTCCAGTGATTCGTTGGACGCACAGTTATGCTTAAGCCAGTCTCTAGGATTTTATAAAGCTCGAAGAAAGTACAGTTCTCCTGGCACTGACATACACCTGGTAGGTGATAAAAATACGATAAATACAAAAGCTGTAAAAGGAACGTACATTCACATATTAGGAGATCTCATCCTACATTAAGTATGCACAAAGAAATATGAAATATGAAATTATTACTGATAACACTTTCATTTGGGTAGATGCCAGAGTGAGGTGCACCTGGCCATAAATTTATTGTTCTAAGTTGAGATTGTGACAAGTTGGGGATATAGTAATAATAAATCTCTATTTACTGGCCCTATATTGTAGAAGCGTAAGCGTATTTTCTGAACCATGAGACTTGTGCAGGTAAGTTTTTCCTAAGGTTTCCATAGCTCTTGTATGATGTTCACACAGTTATAAATTCTATCTGGCATTTATTTGTTTATAAGAATGTCCACTTGTACAGTCAAGTATATTGCTTTCCCTGGCCTTTGGTGTTGACTGGATAAATTAGGAGAGTGCTACACTACTTTTAGGATTCAAAGCATCCTTTTTGGACTCTGGATCCCTTTATCTGTAATGTACAATCTAACACGCAGAGTGAAAACCTACCAGAATAAATGGAGACAGAAAGAAAGTACCTAAACTGGTCCTTTTAATGGCCAGAAAATAGAATATAATTCAAGGAAAGTCAGAAAGAGCCAAGGTCAAGGGAAGCCAGAAGAGACAAAATACGAGAGACAAAAGCCAAGTCAGGGGAACCAGAAATACACAAGTACAAACAACAAAGCCAATTCAAGGGAGCCAGAAAACAGAGTAGTCGAGAGCAAGCTGGGTCAAAATAAATATATACCGGAAGGGACAAAAGAATGCGCTATAGGGACACTAGTAACACTAGTAACCACAACAGGGCACTGTATTTTGGGCCGACTGGTTAGCATAACCATGCCCCCAAAAGGTGCATGCGTGCTGAATTCTATTAATTAGAGCTCCTGTGATGTGATGACGTTGGCACGCATGTGCCGCATCATAAAAGGGATAGGGCACAGAGGCCAGTGTCTATTAGCCTCATACTGCGTGGGAACGGCGGTCTGCTGAATCGGAGCGTCTGCAGATCAGCAGACCGCCAGGGTAAGTGCAAGGGTGCTGACAGTATCAGGTGTTTTTTTTTTTGTTCTAGCCCAAATGCTTTCACAAATATCTAGTGCTTCGCACGATTGTGCTTCATTCAGGGGTATTAGTAGGGAGGGTCTGATAGGGGCTGGATCCCCAAGTGGGTTATTGCCAGTGCCACTTTAATGCACTTTAATTAACTATTTGGTGTTAATTATGCAGCACAATGTGGGTGTATTACTGTGAGCGCAGGGTTTTAATGTGTGGATTGAAGGTTTTAGTTAAGCATGTGTGGAATTTATAAATTGATGTTAATGTAATACTCTGAATGTGGTCACAATGTGATTTGTCGAACGCATTAGATTCATAGACTTTTATAAACTGATCTCCCTCACAGGCCCGCTGGCACTTAGTTCCTCCCGCAAGCAGGCTGGTCGGGAGTGTTGTTGAGCATTACCATGGCAACATTCCAATACAATGGTGCCCGCAGGAGGACAGGAGAGCCAGCCTACAGGTGGGCGAGCTGCAGGTTAAAGTGAACATGCCACCACCGGACCACCAGGGCTTACAGTATTATGTTGCCCCTCCCTGGTAAAAGGTAAGGGAGAGACATTAAGATAGTTTTTCAAATCTTGGGTTTAGCTGCGCGTCACGTGACTCCCTTTTAATATAATGTACTACTTATCTACATTTTGTTTTTCATTATTTATATAAACAACTCACTCTGTTAAACATATTTATTATATTTTTACCTATGTTACATTAATTTATTATGTGTTTTAAAATTCACAATATGTGATGATGTCATTTTGGCGGGAATATTCAAATTCCAACTTAATCAATGTACCCTATATAAGGAAATGTCTGTCAGGTTTATGCCCTTTTATTATATTCTACTTGAAGAAGCCAGTTGTGGCGAAATGCGTTTAGAATCTTATTTTATTTGTTTTATATTATTGTAATAAAGGAATTTTGGCCTCAAAAATACCTTTGTTGTAGCCACATTCCTAATATTATTACATTTTATAATTTTAACCATTTTTAACCTGACTATTTGGATTTACAATGTCTTAAGGAACGCCAAAGAATCCCAAGGTGGAGATTATACCACCCATACGCTACTATCTGAGCAGGAAGTCTGCTCAGTACATTGTGATTACATTTTATATTCTTTTTTATCTACACTACAGTTAACCAGTGAGCACTATATATTTTATTCTTTTATTCTAGGTTGGAACTCCTGAGGAATTACTACTCCATATATCCTTGAGTGGGGATCATTCCACTTTACGCACTTCATACCAGAGCTGGAATTTAGCTCTGGAAATTGTGAGTATATTATATTATTTTATATATATATATTCATATATATATATTGGCATACTGCACTATTGGATCCTCTCTTCATTTCTCTCCACATATGGCCTATTGAAAATACAAGTCTCCATTGGAAAATATAAACCACTACTGATCTACGAGAACCTACTCTATTGGCTGTGGACTATTATCCTGGACTTTTATATTCAAATTTTTACTTGTATTTTTATCTGTCTTTTATTATACATTATTTTTATTAAAGGCGCGCCCTTTCTCTCCGTTTGTTTTTTATGTTCTAATTTATTGTAGGGGATAGGAGGGTACCTCCCCTTTTAGGTGTGCTGCCTTTACATCACTGTATATAGTTTTATTTGTGGAACTATTAGCGCTGATCCTAATTTGATTTATTTTCTTATTGTTAAACCCTTCTGGTGATAGCAGCTATTTAATACCACATTTTTACTATGTCTATATTTGATTTCAGAAATAACTATGTTATTGACATTAATGATGTCTTTAATATAGAAGAAAATTCTCCAATCTATACAAGAACAGAAAGTTATAATCAAAAATAACTTTTTTTAAAATTGGAAAGAGCACTCACTATGGAGATCAAACTGAAATGAGAATTAGCCACACTCAAAAAATATTTAGAAGAAAGGATAACCCCTAGAGGACTGAGACTCTTCAAAGAACCTACCTCAGACAGGGATGATGAGGACTTCATGAGGGATTGGTACAATAAATTAGAAATCTGTACATTCGGCCTCATGGAGACACTCATCATCAAAAAAACAAAAAAATTGTCAATTCTTGACGTTGAAATAAATAATCTGAAAGACAAAATGTCATCATTCACAGAAACACAAACTTTCAAACAAAATTCTATTCTGATTCAAAACAAAATAGAGAAAGTTGAGATGGACACAAAACATATTAAAGTAAAAAAATATATTAGAGATAAACACGACTATTCTATTAACCAAGTCCGCTCCTTTCATCTAAATAATAAGAAAAACAATTCTAACACTAACACTTACCAATTTTCTAACACATATCAAAATAGTCACATACCTAAATCACATTCCAATTACCCATTAAAAAAAGAGAAACAATACCCTTCCATACCATCACGGAATCACATCCAATACAAACCACATACTACCCGTTTTCACAACTATCACCAACAGTCAAGACACTCCCATCTCCCACGTGACTATCGCAATTCTTCCCCCACATCTTCTAATCACTTTAAACATCATGAAAATTCACCACACTCTTCAGTGATATATCAAAATGATAGGGATACCAGACCAAAAGCTCAACGCCCTAGATATGCACATAGTCACTTTACAAACACTAAGTCACCTGTAAATTACACTCAAAAAAATAGGTATCAATTACTATCCATAGACTCTGAAACTGACAATGATGACCATTTTTTAGAGTTTTGCACTCAAAACAACACCCATGCACTAACACCGCATCCTATAAAAACAAGAAAAAGGAACTTAAGTTTAGAGGAAGGAGAAGTGGGAGAAGAACACAAAAGAGAAAGGCTAGACCGACAATAACTCCCATTAATGAGAAAGAATTAGGCATTTTTAATCTCTCACAAAAAGCTTTAACAGCTACACAAATATCAGTCCTTAGCAAAGGACTGAAGTTTGCTCCAACAAATCCTTATAAGCCATTCAAAGCATTTATAGACATTAATAAATTTGTAAGGAATGCCACTCTAAAAAGATTCTTTGCCAGTAAAAACCAGTATACAGTTACTCACATACCCCCAGCTACTTTACCAGATGACTGCTCTAGGATAATATCCACTCCTTTAAAAAAGAATTCCGTTTTCTTCCCATCGAGTTTTAAAACAGGTCCTTTAGAGGTTTTCGAAAAATTGGTTATAAGAGACTTTGAAAAAAATAAAAAGGATAAATATAATCAAGATAATCTCTCACAATTAGAACGCAAGGCTCTTTTACAACTACAGAAAGATGAAAGCATTGTCATAAAGCCAGCCAATAAAGGGGGGGGGTGGGGGTATTGTGATATTATCTAAAGATCTTTATGAAGGAGAAGCCATGAGACAACTTAATGATTTTAATGTTTATGAAAAATTATCACGAGATCCGACCCCAAAAATTCAACAGATTTTAATTTCATTTTTAAATAGTGGCTGAGACCAAAACATTGTAAACAAACAAGAGTATGAGTTTTTAAATGTTTCTTATCCTAAAATCCCAGTTATCTATTTCCTACCAAAAATTCACAAAGATGAAAAAACTCCTCCCAGTAGACCAATTGTATCTGGTATTAATTCAATATTATCAAACTTATCAGAATATTTGGATATTCTCTTACAACCTTCTGTAAAATGCATGCAATCATACTTGAAAGATTCAATGACTCTACTCTGTTTTTTAAACAATTTTATTTGGAAAGACACATATTTACTAGTCACATGTGATGTGCAGTCATTATATACGATTATTCCTCACGAGAAAGGCTGCCATGCAGTCGAAAACATTTTAAGGGCAGAGAAAAAAATTCCATACAAACAGATTGATTTTATAAT